TATATATGACTTATCCGACCAGCATTGAAAATGACAGATAGTCTGACACGTGATAGGCAAATAAAGCGTGCCCATATCACACAACTAGAGACCTCCATAAACCTGGAGGACTATATCAACCGTGTGAACTGAATTGAACGATCAATCCTATTGTGAACAGAATGGAGGTGTGGATACGGTTTTCTAAGGGGATTTTCTCCGACTATATCTCTTTGCTGCGACAAACGAATTCAAAGGAAAGGGAAAGAAGATGACATTTTTCTGTGCTATACTATGCCGGGAAAATCACCGATGCGAACTAGCAACATTGATTGACCGAAATAGTGTGTCTTGTTAGTAGTAGGAAGAACGGACTGCAGAATTAAGATGGGACGGGAGCGAAGAGAGCATTGAGATCCAGTTTCCAGGTTTGTTTGTGACGATAAAAGCCGTATTCATACAGACTCCCCCACCACACACACACACACACACCGCATACATTTCAGATTGGGCCCTCGGGATGCAGTGTGCCTAAATGGAACATGTTGAGCACATGATCTGGGTGTAATCTAGACAAATGATTATATCGACATCTAAACTAGTGGTCAAAATTTGCTATTCTTTAATCTGTATTGAAGTGACTCAATGAACAAAATGAAATGGACAGTTTTTCAGCCCGGCTGGATGACCACCATCCAAGCACACTGGTCGACTCAAAATCGCAGAGTTTGAGACTGAATTGCCCGTTTTTACCGGAATTCACATCGCACTTTCTTAGTTCCGTACATGGCATGATGTGCACCACAAATACATTTGACTGATCCAATGGTTATGCGCGTACGAGTATGACAGGGGCGGGGGACTGCTTAAGCAATCTGTCTTCTCGCTGCCTGTCGTCGGCTGGAGAGATAGAAATTCCGCTTCTGATTTTACGGATTATGAGATACGCAGAGATAAGGCCGATGAAACAATTGATATAAAATCTAAATTAAATTTGGGAAACAGGACGTAGAAAATTTGTGACCGTCATAAGCAAAACGCTATGCGACAGATTGTGTCTGATGGCAATAAAAATAATCATCCCTGATCATTCGTCCCCGGACAGGCTATACAGGATACTATACATATTTTAGGGGTTAAACTAAAAACGCAGCAGCTGGACAAAACATAGATTTCTAAAGCAACTAGTTATCAATGTGGATGCACACCAAAAAAATAGTCATCAAAAAAGAAAAATCGATGTGTTTAAACAATACACAGATTGAAAACAAGCACATTTGTGATGATCGTGCACGGAAGAGAGAGAGATGTGGTTGTTTACTTGTATCTACGCGTTTTTCTTCAATTGCCCCTTCGCTATCTCGGGATCTGACGATCAAAATGAATCCCTCTGACGTTTAATACCGTTTTCTCTTTCTCCCTCGCTATTTTGTTTTCTCTTCATAAAGCTATAATTAACGGAGCTTATTGGTGTTTTTTATCTATTGTTCAATTGAAATTCCTAAATTTCGAGTGCACAGTTGTAGAAATTTCATTTTGCTTGTCAATCAACGAGGATTAAAAACGCAGAAAATATTGCGTGAACTTTCGTCTGTCAACAATGCCGTCTGTTTTGTGTAGTCGCGATCAAAATGTCGTGAATCGAATAGTTAAACAATCAAACAAGTGCACATATTACGCCATATGAATAATTCCAATCCTGCGATACTACTAATTTCATATGACAAGTAGTTAGGTCCGAATGTTCCCAACCGAGCCGTAAGCTGGAAATGAGATGAGCTCACAAGGATGGGGTGTGTTTTATATCTTATTAAGATAAGATTATCAAAAGCGGTCTGATCGACTACCCAGTGGTCAAGTGGGTAGTATTCCTGTGTTCTGTCTTTGAGGTTTCCGATTCTCGGTATTCAGTTGGATAAATAGATTCGCATTGCTTTTAGGAACGAAGCAGGTCAAAATGGTTGTTCAGAGCGCCCCTATATTTTCACTTCATGCTTTATTTGCTAATTAACTCACGAAATTCACAGCAGACTGACTGAGTTCTCGATTTCAATCCATTTCGGATCTGGCGAAATCATGTATTGTGTGATGCCGTTGTAGTTGGTTACAAATGTCATTCGTCGATTGCGTGTAGCTTAGAGCAAATAATCTATACTCCTAACCAGAGAGTCCGAGTCCGGTCAAGGACGAGGCAATAGGTAATTACATTTGGTTGAACATAACACAACACGAGAGTGTCTGGTGTCTCTTAACAATCGAATGAGCTAATATAAGCTTGCTACGCTAAAAATTGATCGGGCCATTCGGACAAGGTGATGACCGTCAACCGTGTAGCTTAGGGGTAAGGGTTTGAAGTCCCGACCCGAATGTTCGTGGTTCGAGTCCTGACAGGGACACAAAAAGTACGAACTGGTGACGAATCCCAAACAGGACGAAATAACTGTCCAGTGCTCTTTGATGGTTATTACAAACATTTTCATCACCGGTATAACACAAATATTCTTTGTAAAAAATCATGCACAGTTGATAGAAAGCGCACAAGAGTTTACTCGGTAAATAGTAGTGATCATCTAAAAAAATCCGTCAAACCAAAATGATTTTTAATTAGGAGACTGATCACGAACTCACTGTTTCCTCATCCTCATCCAATACGATCATATAATTCCGACACTTTGCACAGTCTGTCGGTTCCGGGCCCGAACAACCTTGGACGCATTCCTCNGAGCCAATGCAAGTGTAGCATTATTTGCCTTGCCATTGAAAGGACTGTCTCGAGTTGGACGTTGCTTTCCGGCTTCTAGGCCGACCTTGGTTTCGGGAGCCAGTGTGGGCACAACCGTAGTGGTCTCTTTGGGAGTATAGGTTTCCGCTGAATAAGAACATCAGATTTATCACACAGACATTATCATGGTGTTCGTTGCTTATCGTGATGGATTTTCGGTATAAAAACAACAGAAAAAAAGACAAAACACATGATGAATACCGAATTGGTAGATACAGTAGCGGAAATAACTTCATCGTTTTAACAATGGACAACGCCCAGCACTGTTCCGGTCTCTACAGACGACACCATGAAACGTTGTCCCATTTAGTCTGTTTTGCGGATTTTCGAAAAGTTGCTTTCACAGAACTGGTCGCACCATTTCCGCATAAATGACTGTAATCTAACAGACTACTAACCTAAAATTTCCAGGCTTTATGCCCTCGTTTCTACAGTGTATTATATTTCGTATTTTGTTATAGCTTATCACAGAACAATCTTCATACAGTCTGTCCGTGAACCCATAGAAATGTGTATCCATCTTCATGCACCTGGCTCGGTTCATTCGGTTATCCATTCATCAGGGGAGTAGTAGATCTCAGTACAGTTCACCAATAGTGCAGGGTAGCTGAAATTTATAAGCTCCGGGGAAGATCGGTCAGAATTCCCGATCCAAGATTGATCAACTGTCACGTACACACAGTTTGTCAGCCAAGTGCCACTGCGCGCCAACTCCCCATAGTCCGGAAACAGATAACTATTCAGATGAGATCCTTAACCGTTCGTTATTTTTTCACTCGACCACAAATTATCTTAGCAAATTATCTTAGGATTACATCTTTTTTTTGCACAATGGATCTGCGGTTTCCCAATGACTTATCCGAGTAATTATAATTGATTCGATTGGTTTTCCCAATTTTCAGTTTCTTAGAATATAAGAAAAATGATTTCATAGTTTTGCATTGATAAAGCCCTATCAGTAGTCCAAATTAAAAAAATCAGGGAATCTGAGGAGCACTTTTTTCTTGGGAAATGTTCAACTAAATTAACCAAATGAAAATCAGCCAATGTACATATATGAATGAGTCAATTTGTCGTTGCTCATGGGAAACAAAACACATTTAGACGACAGACAAGGTTACCGTTTCAAGGCTGTTTACAGACATCTGTTTTGACAATAATTATGCTAGGAAATTAAAGAGACGTATTTGTTTGCTGTCCAAAGGGACGAGGACACATCAGCTGAGATCATACAAAGGAGATTTGCCTGACACAATTGGGAGGAATTTCCGGATGCATCAAAGTATCCTGTACTGTTCCCGTCCTGGCACATTGTGTCTGCGACTGGAAGACAAAGTTCTGGACTGTGCGATCTTATTCTGTTTATACTCATTTACTTTCACTTTTGGAATAAAATATCTAAGCCACCCGGTCAGGCAACTGTAGGAATAGAATCAGGAATACCACTCTGCGTGGCTGAACACCGGAACCAAGTCACCCATCAGTGTCGTGGTTTCACACCTAGCTGAAAAAAATCACACTGTGGACGTAACAGCCCTTGTAAAAACGGTTCGTGGGTAATTATCAAGTAAGGTTCGCTATTGAATGTTAGCCACAGTATAATCGGTGGGAATTCGTTTACACAACTTCTCACTGTTGGCCCCAAAACCAACTTATCCAGACGACCANACACACACACACACACACACACACACCGTATAGCGGGTAATCGCGATGATCGAGTGAGTAAACGAACAAGTATGTGATCAGGGTGAGTCCGAATTCCGATCTTTTGATGAAATAGATTGTTGTTTTGATCAACAACAAAAATAATTAGATGGCAACAACACCGGTTCGAATCAATCAAATCCAGATTGAGCGTTGAACACATGCACATAACTACGAGTGCATTGCTTTGCATGAACACATGCTCCTCAAACTGCATACTTGGTGCTCTGTTTAGACACGAACTGCGTTTGGTTTAGAAATTATTTATCATGTGGGAACATGGTGTCATTAAACAGATGTTTTGTTCGATACGTTTTTCTCTCTCAGTGGGCTCAATTCTCAAAAGAAACAACCGGAACAGTTTTTTCGTCAGTCGAGTAATGTTTCCAGACGTCAGGTTTTGTCCGATTGTTTGCCATGCCCCTGAATTTCAAACAAAAGCTTTCTCAATGACGTCAAAGAGTAACACACGTACATGCACACATTTTTTTCACGATAAGTAGACCATTCTCTTGTTGAGTCACGATAAAGTAGCTCAAGGGGAGAGGACCAGTTGTGCAGAGCAACATGCTGCATTACTTGGCGAACTGAATTGCAACTGAGTGTATTTGTGTGTGTGTGTGTGTGTGTGTGTGTGTGTGTGATTATGATCAGGTCCAATGCACCCAAGGAACGTTTACCATAAACATAAATGCCCACATAAGAACGACGATATTGAGTTTGTTCAGATTGTTGTTTGGCAAACTGTGGTCTTATGTTGAAATTCTGAACTTGTTCAATAGTCCCGATGTAATTCGAACCCACGCATGAAGAGCGCCTACGCTTTGGTACAGTGCACGCTCGACCAGTTTATCTATGAGGCCACACCAAACAGACACTGTTATCGAGTTTGTTTAGTCTATTATTTGTATATTTTCATTCATAATTCTGTTGCTGCTGTTTTTCTTGTTGTTGACCGTTCCACAGAAGAATGCAGTGGGACATGTGGATAACGACTTTCACTTTCTGTTCCCATTTTACTTTATTACTACCACCTTTTCATTGTTCCCTGGTTTTGTAAAGAAAAACTGCCAGACACTTTGGTGCAGACGAGTCATCACAAATCGTCCCTCTCTTTATCGTAGCCTCCATTGACACTCATCAAACTGGTATAGCAATTCGGAAACAACACTGGCACAAGATACCACACATTTGTTAGATCAGCATGTTGCGCACATCTGTCAACACGATCCCAATATCAACCAGTATAAACATTTGAGTTCGTGTTTTGATCAACAAGGTAAGACGCCCCAGTGATTTTTGCAAGAACCTCAGTGGTTAGGAAGCTTTTCAGGTTTACTGTTATGGCCCATTCCATCTAGCTAATATTATTTGCACAGGCTGTCCTTTTTTACTTAAACATAAGTTTTGTTTAACTGACACATGTATTTAAAATCATTGCAATCACTGCATCATTTGATAAAAAGCTTCGGTGTGATCAAATGTCTGCCGAAACACTCAGCAAAAGATTGAGGACGGAATCCACCAATCAGTTATCGCCCATGAGTACGCCAGGGCGGGCTATTGATATAGACAAAATAAAAAAAACGTAACAATATGCCCGTTTAAATCTTCGTGGAATTATTCTGAACCAAGATAAAATATTATACATTGTTTCTCCTCTCCCTGAAACACATATGATCTCGGTTGATGTGTTGCGCAATTTGGACTCTAAAGCTCATTGATTACCACCGATTGGAGTCCGATCTGGGATGCACCTTGATGTGCACACACTCTGGTGCACTTTGTGCCTTCGTTTATTGTTCCTGCTTGTGAGCTTTATTTTCTGGTTAGAGGTTTGGCTGTGATATATCATTATATCCGTCTTGTGATGTTCATGTTAGAAAACTTTGCTCTATCTGGACTGCGTGGAATAGTGGTTGTCTGACACACCATTCTCTATCTATCGGGATGTGTGACACCCGGGGTAGGGGGGGTAGGGGGGAGCCATCCGCAATGGAGCATTTAATACGTGCCAGACAGACTTTGTGGCTTGAGTAAACAGCTGATGACACTGAAAAGTGTCACCATCTGAGATGATTTTGGTTTCACGTACAGTCATATCCCACTCCGTCTCTAGATTTTATATCTTTCAATCAGTTTAACCCTGATCAACCGGATAGTGGTGATCGTGGTGGTATGTGAACTCTCGTCACGTTCAAACTCATCCAGGTATACTTTCCACGAACCCTGTGTCATGGTCTGACATGAGTTTGATCAGTGCGACTCAACAACGATGACTTGGTGCATAACTGTTGGTGTTTACACGTTTTTGCCCCCAAAACACTTCTGGACTGATAATCATGTGGCAAGATGCCAAAATTCATCACACACACAGGGACCTACTGGTTCAGTTCAGTTCAGTTTGTACAATCGTTAACCATGCACTTTCGTGCGCCGGTTTTGGTTGCTCTCTTTTGTCTGCCCATTTGGATGAAGCAGTAGGAGGAAAACAAGATGGTTGAAAGTAGAGTAGAATAGAAAATAGGGAATTTCAGTGGTTTAAGAGAATATGTACGAACGCCACTGTTTACAACACAGCCATATCAATCAGTGCTCCTAGCCGCCGGTTACGATCTTTCGGAAGTCACTAACTAGGGAGCATAATGGGACCCATGTGACCCAGTCTCTTGGGTAGGCTTTTTATATCCTCATACCAGGTCTTAGGTTGACCACCCTTGACCTTTTTTCATTCACCACTTGGTTCGGTGTACATCGCTCGCCGTGGCAACCTATTTGGTGGCATGCGTAACACATGCCCTAAAAAACTCTAATGGGTGACCGCAGTTACCTAAAACTGCGCCCAATCCAAATATTGCTCGTCCGGCTACCCCACCAGATTCGTGCAATGCTGCGTAGACAGCGGTGTACAAACACCGAGAGCCTTTCTCTATCCTGCATCTTTAATTGCTAAGTTTCAGTGCCGTAAAACAGAATTGGTTAGTTGTGAAAAGCTATTTACAAATAGCTTTCATAACTCCCGACGAGCCGGAAATCGTTAGTCGGCGAGTTGAAGTGAAAACGGTATTTTATTACTTTACCGTTTAATCGGAGAGGCTTTTTGAGCAATCTATGGGATAAATAAATGCACTGGTCTAATGAAGATTTACGATCTGAGTTTATTTATCGAGGTTCTTTTTTACGTGGAAACGGTTTATCGAGAATTCCGGCAGGTTGTTTGAATCGTGCGTCTGGTATTTATCCTGACTTCTTTGATGCGGTGATCCAAATCCAATCAAACCATGATACTTTTTAACCAGAATCACTTAATTCTCATTCCTACTGAACGGATTACGTGTGGTAACTATGGTTCCGAAAACATGTTAAATACCACCAGTTGTTGGGTACAAGCTGCACTGAATTGGTTTGGCAGACCAGCAGCGCTGGTCAAAATCCAGCTGGCCGGGTGACAAACCCCACGTCCCACACGGGAAAGGTGTTCAGACAATCGGAGAAAAAAAAACAATGGATGTTCACCTACCTGGCGGGCATTGTAAGACACATTCGGATTTGAACCACCAGTGCAAACAATTGTGACAAATCGAACTGTGCGTGCCGTTCGCGGTACACACCTCACAATACGGATGACATGGCTTGCACACGCGAAGCATGAAACCGGCGGACAACTTGCTCCCGGCGAGTTCCTCCGTGTCGGTGGACACAGTTAGCTGTTCTTTACGGATGAAATCGATCGGCGCGTACGATTCGATGTAGTGTCGCAGAGGACAGTCACGCATCAGACATTGGTACTGTTGTGTCGTACTGTCTGTGAGAAAAAAAACACAGATGGGGAAATAAATAAGATACACATGTAGTTTATAGTAGAAACTGCCGTTTTCCAACCCCGGGGTGTGGGGTGGAACCAGAAGCACATACACATTTGTTTGTTTAATTCGCAACACCGTTGAATCCAGCGTGAGTGATTTGGGAAAAAATGAAACAGATCATTATGGGATCGGGAATGGAAAGAAGTGAAAAATTAAAAAAAAATTGGACTTAATCTGTTTATTTAAACAGCTGTAGTAACTACCGAAGGATATTTTGATCTTATCAAATTCAACTGGACACATTATGGATCACCGGAGATAGAGTTTCAATTTGATAAGCTCTCTGTTTTCGGGATGATCGTGAAAAAAAGGTACAGAGGCACACGCATTCCATAATGGATTATATGATGGACTGACAGCTGCACAGACAAATTTCATAGACAATAGAATATAGTCAAAATTACAATTAAGTACACCGTGATTTGCTATACGAATCGTGAATACGTCCGGGTAGTCAATTATCGGTTTGTATTGACTTGAACCGTTGATGACAAAATAAATATTCCAACAGAAAGCCAGAAAATTTTGGATAACAGATATCTGATCGATTTAGGGTATCTGAGGACTGTTCAGGAGACGTGACTCTTTGAATAAGTTCTAGTGTATACAATCACAAAACTAGGCATCGTGTCTTGGGCCGATTACGATTGCTATCTTTCTCTCAATTATTAAGATACGAGTCGAGTGAATAGTTGAAAAAATGAAATGCACTATATGAAATTAGGGTAGAGAAGACGAACAAACTGCGTACAATTCCCTGACCTGAAGCTCACTAATAAAATTTATTCACCAATATACAGTGCGATCACCGTAATACGGTTTTACCTGTGACCCCCAAAAAATAAATAAATTCCCTCTGACCCCTTGTGCGATCTGATTGGACAGCTTTCGGCGATTTGCGCAACTTTCCTTAACCTGACACGAGATTGTCTGATCACCGGTTGGCATGTTTGTAATATTCCAGTTGTTACCTGATATCCAGTGGTGTAATGATGGCATGCCTGATGTGCACACCAGATGGTGCGAGTTGGGCAAGCATCAAAAACCCTATTTTGCAGGCTACCCATCCGGTGGATCGATAAATGAACCCGCTTGATTATCCTGTATTATAAATGAATTGCACATGCGATAGATGCATCAAAACGTGTGTAGAAGTCCGAAAAATCTTGCGAGCATTGAACCCTACGCTAAAAGTGGAATAATAATAGATTGAACCCAAAATCCACGAATTTATACCGGCCAAACAGCATTACTCCCTCGTAACAATAAGTTAGCTACAAAATATTTCTCAAACATGCCGTAATCCACAAGGGCGATTACTCAAATGAATCAGTTGATGATACGCTCTATCTTGTATATGCACAATTTAAAACAAAATGGTTTGATCAGCTGCTCTCGAGTTATCAAGTGGACAATATGGTTCGGTTCAACCTGTGACACATGCCGGGTCTGAAAACCGTCGTTATGTTTACACCGCTGATGAGCACACACACACACACTATGCATCTTAGTTTTACATTGGATGCTCCTACGAAGATGAGAATAAGCAGGAAACACAAGAAAGTGTTGAACCAATATCTCCAAGCCCAAAAAGGGTTGATACTAACCGTGTGAGTGAGAGGGAACAATTTTGACTACAACTCGGCGTTGCACCTTCAGAG